AACTCAATCACACAAGTAATGGCAGGAGCACAAGGAGCACTGCAAGAACCTGCCTGTCATGCTTTATGTAACTGGCTTCACCCAAGCAGTCAGGACTGATTCCATTAGGACAAGGTGGCAAACCCCAGCATCAGAAACAGAGGAAAAAAATAACTGAAGGCTCTTTCTCTATCTCTTTCTCACAGTTGATTAACCAAAATAAATGGTAGGAAATGGACTTCCAGCCTTAAAATGCAATGAAGTGTTTCTGCTTGCATGGGGATGCTCTCAGGATGCTGGGAGGCTCAGATGTGTGTGCAGCCCCTGTGCTGAGAAGTAACCCTAAGGCACTCTGGAAGATCTCGTTAAGTGATGTACAGCCCCTGAGCAGGTAGTTGCAGGTTGCCAACAGCACAAGAGATTTGGGTTTACTGAAAAATGCAAATAGTATTGTGTTCATCTTACCTCTCTTATCATCCGGTGTGTTCGTGTGTCTGGGGTGCTACAAGTGCACGTTCTTATCTCTGCAGCCTCTTATGGAAATTCCTACCTCAGCGTTGCTCTTGCTGACAGCTTACTGAAAGTTAGGGGGATAATTGGCACCAGGTTTCTTTGGAGGCTCCTTCCTTGCTGATTGCAAAAGGAGTGGACTGAAACAAAAAGGAGTTTTTAATGTTTCCCCTCTCCTCACCCAGGCATCTCCCAAGTAGTACAACATGCATGATTTTGTACCACGGCTACTCCCCCAGCACATGTTTCCTGCAGTGATGCTCCTTCGACTTGAATGTCAGGGAGCCAGAGGAGTAGTTGTTTTCCATCTTCCACCTCCAGCCTGTCCCTCCATGCTCCCGAGTATTGTGGGTTGCTGACAAGTATCAAATCTGTTCTTGGGCACTGCTCCATGTTCAAGCAACAGAGCTTACAAATTAAGCCTCCTGTCTTGGCCAATTTTGTTTCTCCACCTGGAGAATTAGTTTTGGCCTGTGAGTAACTCAGTCAAACATCTGCAGTCCTGGCCGGTTTCTTTGCCAGCAGCTCACCCACTTGAATTATCTGGCTCCTCTCCATTCTTGAGGGTTGCATTTCTCTAGGCACGACTATGTCCCGAGATGTCATGTGCCATCCAGGCTCCACTTTACTCATTCCTCTGACGCACTCGGGCTGGAGATGAAGCCAATCCTAAAACAGATTTACTTTTTGTTTTCTTTTGTTTTGTTTTAGACTTTAAAGTCTAAAAGTTCTTTACAGCTGCCTTCCAGAAATCCCTGGTGGAATTCTCCTGAGATCTGTGCTCCCTCTGAACCGTGCTTTAGATTCAGTAGATGAAGGCTGTTCTTCCATGTTAAGATCTGAGAATTCATGAGATCATGTGCAGCTCAGTGAATTATTCTGAATGAAGAGCTAATTACCTGTGTTGTTATTGCAAATCACTGATCATCAGCACTATTAGTGGTAGCAATGACAGTGATGCTATATCATCTCTCTGCCTCCTCCCTGTGAGTGGGAAGTGTTTCTGTCTGCTTTCTAAGCGGAAAACCTGAATTACAGATGTTTAATGGTGCGATTAGTCTTGCAGCGGGCCTGCTGTCGCTGGCCCTGGGAATGTGCCATGAAACCCAAGACCAGGAGGCACATTACATGGTGCTCCATCTCAGCTCTCTGCTGTCATACAGGAAAGTTAATCAGAGACTCAGGGGATGAAGATCGTGGGGTTTTTTTGTTTTGGTGTTGTGGGTTGTTTTGGTTTTCTTTTTCCTTTTTGGTTGCTGTAACAGTATTTTGAATTTAAGACCAGCATGGATAAAGTACTTGTAAGAATTTCATTGGTTTATGTAATCTTTTACTGACTGTGGTGGTTACTCATGAGTTGACCTTGTCTCTTTTGTGGCTGGGAAGTGCTCTTGAATTTCCCTGAAGTAGCTATTCCAGTGCATATTTACACTGAGATTTATTTTATGCTTCCACACACCAAGGTGATAAGCAACAATCATCCATTTTCCTGGTGACTTTAAGCACCGACCACTCTTGAGAAGAAAAATGTGACACATTGAGCTTGACTGGATGGCATGTGGTTTCCATGATGAATGCCCTTTCTCTGATCTCTGTTTGTTCCTGCTGTCTCTATAGAATCAGTTATTCACAACTGTCATGTTGTAACTGAAATGCCTTGTAGCTGTCTACCCAGGCAGAGCTCGGCTTCCTCCAAAGCACTGTATCCTGTTGCTGTGCTGCGTGTAGAACAACTAAACCACTTTCCTCCTCTTAATGCCTACCTGGACAGTGCTGCAAGATTAATATTTTGAAGGGTTTTGGGGGAATGTGATGGTCAACAAGAGCCGAGGATGAGAATGGGTGAATGTTAATACTCATTCCAGAATTGGCTGAAGTGTGGAGGACCAGCTATGAAGTAAGTCCTGGAGGCAAAGCTGGGCAGGAGGCAGCATATTTCCTGTCAGGTTTCCTTTCCTGTGATCTGGGAGGTTTCTGCAAGTCACTGACAGAAATAGCAATTATGCTGAATAAAAGAGGAAACTTATTTACTGCTACAAAACATTCCAATGGGATTTTCTCTGTTTTCATTTAGAACTGTCAAGAAAACCTCATATGAAATAGTTTTAGATGAAATATGGTATTTTGATATAATTTCCCCCCTTCTTCTTTGAATATGTTCTGAAATGTTGTAAAAAGCTTTGAAACTGAAGTTCTGGGAGTTTCCAGTTGCTGCAAATGGGGAATATTTCCATTCCTGAATGGTGTTGCATGTAGTAGAGGAGAAATTTGTTTTTATTAATACATTTCATAAAGAAAAATACAGCCTTTTGACCAGTTCCAGCTTCATCAAACATCTCTCCTATCTCCTGGAGACAGGAGAAAGAGATGCATTCCTCTGCCCAGAAGACCATACATCAAGACTCTCCAGTTTTCAACCTGGATGATTTTGCTACAGCTCTGTAGCACTCAGAAGGCATTAAATGGGCAGAGACTGAAGGTACTGTCTTCCCCTGGAAGTTACCTTCCCACCTTCTATGGCAGTGTCAAACCTGCCAGCTCCAGGGAAAAGGAGGGCACTAGTGCCTTCAACCTCAGCAACATTCCTCACTGGTGGTTTGTGAAAAGTGCTGTACAGAAAGTACTGAAGGTTTGCAACTTAGCAAAGTTTCTCTCTTATTTTCTTACATCTTTAAAGTTGAGATTAAAGGTACAAGTCCTAGGTAGCTTTTACTTTCCTTAGGCCAGATAGGGTCTGGCAGAGGATAAAAGGCTTGGCAAGGAAAGCTCTCCCTTGTCTGCTCCTTGGGGGCTCATCTTCTGTCCTCCCTGCCCACCATGGTCCGTCATGAAAATCCCCGCTGGCTGTTGCCTCCTCCTCCCATCCGGCACATCCCAGCTCTGGGAAATTTGCCGTGACGCAAGCCTGTAACGCAGGAAGCATGGCCCCTCCACGTCTGAATTTTAAATGCATGTTGTCACTTTGTGCTGTCTGATCTCATTCCTTCTGCTCCAGAGAGAAATCAAAACTGAGAGGAGGTCTGTGGCCCCAACCAGCAGGCACTGAACCAGAAATGAGGACATTAAAAAGGAAGAGGGAGAAAATCGTCAGTCCCACTGACACGTGCAGGATCCCGTATCACTCGGCAGACACATGCTGAATGCCAAGGAGGAGCCGTCAGTTCAGAGCGATGTTTCGGCTTCCTCCGTTTCAAGGATGGGGTCATGTGCTGTGCTGTCTGGTGGGGGACAGGAAAGGGGAGTCAGGAGACTGAGACGCACTGCCAAAATCAGGATAACAGCTCAGCTGATGGCAGCTCTCACATCAGTGGCTGGGACCGGTGTGTGTGTCATAGTGCTGAGCCAAGTTGTCCCCACAGTCCCTTCTCCACAGGTCAGACAGTCCTGCCAAACAAAGCAAAAGCATCAGCTTTGAAGGGTAAAGTGGATACTGTGAATATAAAGCTGCTTCTGGCACTTGCAGCTCCTTTTCCCCCCATTCTTACACCTTCCTTCTATGTCCTTATCCTTGATGGCTTTTGAGGAGCACATGTGGGTAATAATCAGGTGAGATTTTAGTCAAGAATGGTGGTTAACTAGAGGTTGGCAACGACCAACAGTTACCTGAAGATCTGAAGGACACAGCAGAGTTAAGATGTTGAATGTGAGAATGAGTGAACCGCTGGTGTATATAAGGGACAAAAGCCCAATCCCGTGTTTAACCATATAGATGAAGCTGTCGTGGGAGTCACTCCAGCGTGTGCTCAAAGCAAGGGGCTGCTGGTTCAGAGCTCCATAAATGGTAGATGGGCATGTACATCTCCAGGTGGGGCATCAGAAACATTCCAGAGGAGATACGAATTGGCTTGGGGAAAGCCCCAGCATTGGGTGCCTTAAGGTGGTGGCTGCACTATTGTCACAGCGTCATTTTAGACTGGGCAGTAGGATGTACTTGGAAAAGACTTTTGCAACGATTGGATGAACCTTACTTTGTGACTGCTCTGTTCAGTCCTGTTCTAATGATTTGATATGAAGACACTTGGTTGTTGAAGCCATCTTAAACCTGGAAAACCTTGAGGAAAGCCTAACAGGGAAGAGTAGATCTGTTCCAATACAAAGAGAGTGCTGATGTGTCTGTGACATAATATTGTGCTTCTAGAGGAAATTCTGCTGTGGAGAGAGATGGAGGACAGCTTTTAGCATTGGAGGTAATAATTTGTATTGCACAAATGGACACATGTATGTGGTTGTGCACCAGGGTCTTGTTATAATGGATATGGGGGGGCCTAGAACAAAAGAAGTGTGTGCACAAAGCAGTTTTCAGTCCTCTTTCAGGATGAGAGAAACACCTGATCTACAATCAAAGTGGTGGTTTGTAGGACAACAACATATGGAATGGTGTGGTTTCCATTCACTACTGCCCTCATCGGCTTCATAAGCTTCACAAATACAATCTGAAAGACAAAAGAAGGGCTGCATATTTTCCCTGACCCTCTGTGACGTGTGCTTTTCTCATTCTTCTCTCCCCATAGTGAATTTGCCAAAGAACGAGAGAGGGTAGAAAATCGTCGAGCTTTCCTGAAACTCCGTAGGCAGCAGCAAATTGAACGGGAACTAAACGGATACTTGGAGTGGATCTTCAAAGCAGGTAAGGCAAGAGATCTCCTGATCCTGGTTCAGTGTGTTTTGTGGCAAGTCTGGCGATGACAGAAGATGGACCTTGGAGTTGCTGGCCATTGAAGTAACCCAAGACTAGAGAGGGCCCAGCCAGCACTTACTGCTTTTGTTGGGCTTGATTCTGAGCAGTCACACTAAAGTTACCGCAAAAGACCTCAGATTGGTTACGCAAAAATGAAGGAGCTGGACCAACTTTCTTTATTGCTGAGATCAAAGCAGTTGTCTTAATACAGTAGAATATAAAAAGTGATACAGTGCCCAAAGTCTCCACAGTAGGGAAACTGTTCCCTTATATGAGTCATTTATATTTTATTTACTTTCCACCACAGCTGTTTTATAAGCCTCTCTTGCTGTGATGGTAAAATACACTGGAGTGTCATTTTTCTGAGCTACAGAGATCACTTGTATGAAACTCACCCCAGCACACATTAACATTGCTTTATAACTATTATAGCTCAACATTGCACTTCATTGCAAGCCGTGAGCAACTTTAACAAGGACCCAAATGCACTAATTTAACAAAAATAGCATGCTTTGCTTTTCCTTTTTTATCAGACAGCAAAGATTACCAATAACCTTTCTTTGTTATAGAGTAGCTGATATATATATTGACATAACCACAGTGCAATCTATTCACATAGCATCAGGAAAACTTCTGGGGCTAATTTGCTTCCTTGCTTGCTTTTTGGAGAAGCTGAAACACCTCAGTAAAATGAAAATGCCTTTAAAAACAATGTTGGGGAGAAAAAGAAGTGGTGATTTCTCAAATAGATTTTCAGGTGCCTTTCTAGGCAGGTCAGCTTCATCCTCACCCTTTACATATGGGGAAACTGAGGCCCAGCATTATAGTGACTTGCCTGATGTCATCTGATAGACTGGTGTCAGAACTGGCACTCCATTAAAAGCTGTGTCATCATGCCTTATTTTGAAATCCGTACTGATGTCAGAGGTCTGATGTGCTAAAACGTGCTTGTGCAAGCAAGTCGTTGTGTAGTCACAGCAACTCGTTGCAGCATTGCCCATGCGTAAGCTGTGTACAGGCCAGGGGCCAAAGTATCCGCGTGCTGTGCTGTGTGTAAGTGGCTCTTTGTCTGGACTTAGAGTTTCTGCTTTATGTGCACAACCTGGGTGTATGTAAAATAGGAAGGAGTTATTATTTCCCATAGCACTACACTGTGACAGCTGAGCGCCAGTTGTACTGACGGACTTCTATTCACTGTGACTGTTCAACAGCAACTGTCCTCGCTTAGGTAACCATGCTTCGTTCTGTGGTTCTGTAGGATTCAAAACAAGAATCATTCATTTTCCATTTATGATTTGTCTTCCCATTTGTTTACAGATTTTGTGCTACATCAATTTCAAATTAATTAATGTCTTATCCAGTGGCTGGAGCAGAATGCACCGTGGTTCTTCGTTGTCTCTAGTGCCATCTTGCTTTTAAGGTTCCTGTGATTTTCTTGGTCTCTAAATCCTGGTCTCCCCATCAATAAAATAAAGATGAGAGTTCCCTTGCTGGGATGTGGGTTGCTTTGTTTCATTTTGGTGACTGTTCTGCCAAGAAGACCAGTGCAGAGGTCTCTAAACTGGCTGAACTTGTCTGAAAGTTGAGGTGTAGAAGTTACAAAAGATATAGCCAATCTTTGCTTCAACTTTGCATCCCTGTGGGAAGGCTGGCTGTTCTATTTCTGTGTTAGTGGTGAATAAATGCCGCATCAGTCAAGAGTGAAACTGCTGTAAAATGCCCACTTTTTTATTTAGTCTAATGACACAAGATCCAGAAGGTTTCTAGAACAGGAAAGTGTATGCAAAATAGCTAAACCAGGCAATGATAAAAAATTTCTATAAAGGCATTGTTGAAAATACAATGGGAATAGAAAACAAGATTTCTAGTACAGCTGAATAACAACAATAATTGAAATCAACTTAGCAGTGTTAGTAAATCTTTGAATACAAAAGGTATCGAGAATCGAGTCTAGAATTCAGGCGCTGAAATTTGGGACTGTGCCATCAATGGGGCTTTCCCATTTCTGTTTTAGACAAAAGGTAGCGTGAAGGCTAACTAAGAGAATCGAGTTTAGAATTCAGGCGCTGAAATTTGGGACTGTGCCATCAATGGGGCTTTCCCATTTCTGCTTTAGAAGCCGGGATTTCAGCTATGTAATGATGTAATGTATGTATGTAATGTAATGATCATGAATTTCCAAACTAGATGATCATTCTTCCTTGTCCAGGACTGTGTGTGGGACAATGGCCATAGCAAACTGCTTCGGTGGGGTGAGGAAAAGAGCCAGGGAGGACAGTCACAGGCATTCCAGCCTGTACAGAAACCTCTTGCAACAGCCCCAGGCAGTGAGCTGTAATAAGCTGTTTGCATAAAAGAAAGAGTAAAAGCTCTTGGTATTCTGCTGTAATGTAACTCTGGAGGATTGTGTTATTATTCATGCGAATATCAAATTTTTTAAAAAAAAAAATTAGCATCCTAGCATCCTTGACCTCATTGAATCTTGTAGCAAGGAGTTCCGCGTGTTAACAGTTGGTTTGATTTAAAAAAACAATCCAACCTACCATACAGTATGCCCTGTCCTTGATTTTAAATATGTTACCTTTCTGCAGTGAGAAGAAGAGCTAAGGAGTGCACTTTGTATTGCTTTTTATTACTTTTCTTTCTCTGATCTCTCTCTACCTTGTTTCATCTTATTTTTTCTGCTCTAAAGCATGCAGAACCAATCTGCTCAATTCTCTTTTCCCCTGGAAGCCTCTCCAGGCTTCTAATATTTATAGTATCCTTCTTGAGCATTTTGTTTGTTCGTTTTTTCTCATTTATTTTTGATGCAAGGTAGGAAGAGTGGAAAGCTGCATTCCAGTGATTCACAAAGTGGCATCTTAATACTTAATCCAATCGGTTTTGCTCAGTAATGTGGTTTACATATTCTGAGTAGTTGTTGGAGCTGGAAAGGAGGTTTACTTGTTCTTGGTAGTGCTCAAGTTTTTACCTCAAAAGCTGCAACTGGTTTAGGGCTGAAGAAAGTATTTGAGTGACTAAAACAGTCTTTCATCTGCACGCTATCTCCCATTTGTTAACAACAATTTTAATTTAACATTGTGATTATAATTTATTGACCACTCTTGAGTGTCTTTAATGTTCCTCAGCCTTCTCCATCTGTAATATGAATGATGTTATATTATCTCTTGCTCTACATATTGCATTAAAAAGGTAGTTCAGATGCAATTTTGGGGTTGTTTACTATTAACCCTTTCTCATACTGAAATTGTAGACTGTTTAGTAGTCCAAAAGAAAACAATGGCTCTTCGTTGTCTATATCTTAAGTACTGTCTGACTCAAATGTGTTCCAGACCTGCTTTAATGACTTGTCTTACATTTATGTTGTAAGAATGAAACTTCTTTAATAGCCTGGCTCTTGAGTAACTGCCTTTTACATTTTTCTTATTTTCTGGTGGTACTTTTAATTTTTTTTGAAGTGGTAAAATAAGAATATAAAAAGGAAGAAAATATTAACAGAGTGCTGGTGAAGTTTTTAGGGAGGTACCTTGGCACAGCCTAAAGACTTTGGTGCCAGCTCACTATTGATAAATCACTAGAAGTGTAGCTGGGGTTGAAACTGGAGCAAACACAGCTCAGACTGCTTTAAATGTGGATTGTTTAACATAGTCAGCAGTGTATCTGCTTGAGCAATCAATACCAGGGTGTTTTAGGCAGTGACAACCTTAATGTGCAAATACTTGTGTGAGTTATACTTCATACAGGAAGCTTTCATTGATGAAGTGCTTAACAAATGCCTTCTTAACAAAGGTTTGGGGAACAAAAGAGAAAATTATAACACAGATACTGTGCTGAAATGCTGAATTTAGATGTGCTTGACTTGAATGAAGAAAATCAGCCCCCAGTCTGACCAATTTCCTTAGAGTTTGAATTGACTTTCTTCACTTAGGAATATACAGAGGCCAGGTATGAAGTTTCTACTTTTTTCTCAGGTGCATGGTGAAGAATGAATACATAGGTTGGTCAGGAGGGTTTAAATATTTTCAAATGAGATAACAGTTGATTCCATGTAAAATACCATAAGGCCAAGACTAAGCAAGGAGAATTGTAACTCACTAGATTCTTTTTTTAAGGATCTCAAGAAGAAATGTCATGCCACTTTAAATGACTTCTAAATATGTGTCTTCAAATCTGTAAGGTTTTCAGTTTTAAAACTAGTGCGAGTTACAGGCCAGAAGCAATGATGAAATCCTATAATTTCTTGCATCTCACGGAACTTAGTCCAGAAATCCGTAAGGTAATTGCCATGTCAAGCTCATAAACATTGACTCTCTATTGCTTAGAAGTGAACTGGATGGATCAGTTAGAAACAGACCTGTAATCTTAAATTTAATCTTAAAGAATAAAGCCAACTGTTTGTTTTGTAGTAAATTCTTCAAAGAGCCCAACTCTTCCCCCAACCAGGAGTCAGCTGATAGAGGTGTAAAAAGAAATGTGTTGTTCCTCTAGGAATGAGAAACAGTTCTCTTCCCTGAACGCCTCTTTGTCAGTACAACTAGTGTCAAATAAAGTCTTGCTGGGGATGAGCAAACCCTGTGCTGTTCCACCTGCTGCGTGCTGGGACAGGCTCTGCTCTGTATTTCATGTTTTTGTTGGGCTCTGCACAAAGGCAGTATCAAGTCAATTTGAAATTGTGCCTTTCAGAAGAATTAAAAAATGGTGAAGCCAAGCAATGTAATCCATGCAAATGATTTTGCCACTGCTGCTTTCTCCATTAAACTCCTTGAAACTGTAGCAACTATTAGGCTGTCATGCTGCATTTCCAACGGAGAGCAGAGAACTAGAAGTTCTCTGCACAGAGTGAAGTGCTTATGAGCCCACAAATATTCTTTTGAAAATGTTTCTCTTATCTTACAAGGCCATGCATCATTTTGAAAACACTGCTCAGAGACTGGAAGTCTTTCAGTTCAGAGCTAATCAAGTTGCATGTCTTTTGCATTTTAATTCTTTCCAAGTCCATCTCTTTCACACAGCACTGATTCTGAGTGTTTCTTTTCTGATGGAGTAAGCAGGCATTGGGAGTGGGTTTAACCTCTCTCTTCCAGCTCACTGTAACTTGCATGGCATTCCTTGACCTGACAACGCTTTATGGACCTTAGATTTCATCTTTCTCTGGAAGAAGCAGAGCAACAAGCCTCTTGATACAGCTGGGGAAAAAGACACCTGCATGAATGAAAAAGGGCAGCATCATGTGTGAGATGGGAGGATAATTGCCAGACAGACAAATGAGAGTTTCCCATGGAAGTGTGACAGCTTCTTCTAAGGATGTGGTTTTAATTCACTTACTCTATTTAACAAGCCTGAAGCTTCAGCAGCTAAATTCAGTTGTTCTTCTTTTCTTCTAACTTCTGTTGCCTGTTCGATGTGAGTTATTTCCTGTAATCCACTCTTCTTTTGAGCCCATGATGTCCCATCTCCCCATGACAAAGAGAAGGAGAAGAGACACCATGTTTCTCTGCTGCTTTGCCTGTATTGTTCACCCTTCCACTTCCTCAGTAGAAGCTTTGCCTTTATTTCCAGCCCTGTAACATGCTGTGGGTTGATACTTTATGACCAGCAATTAATCTTAATGCTGAGATACCTCTTCCTCTGATATCCCAGTGAAGAACCTGTGCCTTTGTTTGGAGGCTACGAGTTGCTGATCTGATACTGTCTCCCTGTTGAATATTTCTTCTAATGTAGAGGCACTGTTGTTTGGAGTTTTTTCAGGTGCCCTAATTATCTTCTTCCAGTCTCGGTGTTACAGTGATGACTAAAGGCAATGAAATGTCTGATCCTCTGCTTAGGATGCTGTATGGTTAAAAAAAATCCTAGCGATGATGACTAGCCTGCTGAGCTGTCTTTTTAGCAGGCTTTAAAACCCATGCAGTGCCCCGCGGGGGTAGATGTGATCCTTTGGGTTCTCAGAGGATACAAGACAGACAGGGGTGACTATCAAGGGAGAGAACTGGGGAGTGATGGTGAAGGAGAGCCAGACTGGAGGGAATTGCATAGGTGAAACCTGTGTTTTGTTTATTTTAAGGGAACAGTAAAACTGAGCCCTGGTGAGATACGGACATATGCTTGGGTACCAGCTCAGGGCCCTGAATTTGAGGCAAAAGATCAGCTGATTTGCAAAGTTGTCTCAAAAGCGCATGTAATTTGTAGGTGAAAATACATTGATATCAAATTGTCACACCTTACAAATTCTGAGGTCCCACTGGCATTTATCAGTCTGGTTTCTGAAACCTCTGTATGGCTACACCTCTCATCAGCCTGACTGGGGGGACACAGGTGACACGGGAATCTCAGGCGCCATCAGCACACCGTTGCAAATCACGATGGTCATGTAGCCATGCAGTCCCAAGCTCACAGTCCCCAGGGGTGATCTGGGGACTCTGGATTGTTCCTCCCCTCCTGCCCAAAGGACAGGGGAGAGTCATGATGAATTGTTACAGGAACGAGCAAAGCAAGAGGCCACTCAGAAACAGGGGAAAAGAAGAATATCTTCTTTCTGCTCAGAGATCTTTGAAGGGAACCAGTACAATGATTTTCTTCCTGCACTGATAGGAATCAAGTGCAGAACTGAGCTTCCACTACGTGAGTAGGTTCGCTGTTTTGTGGAGTGGTTCAGGGGTTTTTTAACAAGACGTGACTGAAACCAGCAACTCTCAGAGCACTGACCAGTAAGTGTGTTGGCTCTCGCAGAGATTTCCTTCTGCAGACACAACTCTCTCATGTTGCACTCACCTGGGTGTAGCTCCTGAAAAACAGCTGCCTGCCTTCTGACCTTTGCTTGCTCATTATTTTTGTCACGTGGCAGTGTGTCTGCTCCCTGCAGTAGCTTGTATTAGTCCACTTAACTACCAAATGCTGTCTAAAAGTCAGCTTTTCTATCTGGGAGTGGCAGAAGAGCTCCTCTGGGATGTGCTTGCTTTCCCATGCTTGCTCTTTGTCGCAAGACCTAAATGAACTCTCCAAAAGGTTTTGAATTTTCATTGCAATTTGCTAGTATTCAGAATAGGAAAATACCACATCTGCATTGTGCAGAGGAGAACACAAAGCAGAACCCCAAAGTACTGATGACAGAGTTAATCCCCGGATCCAGAAGAGTGCAGAAACATCTGCGTGGCACTATTGACACAACAGCTACTAGGAGATAGACTCATTTTTATGCAGAGTCCTGCAGTGATGTGGGTATATCACCTCCAGATATGACATAAGGCTTTTAAAATCACAATCCATGACTAGCGTAGCCTTTAAAAACATTTATGGGAAAATGTCTACTGTAGTAGCATCTCGAGCTCATGGTCCTTCCAACAGGGGTTTGCTCTGTGCTTCACATTTATAGGACTTTGTCCAGCTGTCTTTTGGAAGGGGCCTCCATATCTAAACCATTCCTGCAAAAGCACTCATATTCACTGTTAATTGCAGTTTAACTCTTTCCATATTTTTATCCCCCAAACACCAGTACAGCTTTTCCCCAGGCAAGACTTTGGAAGAACATTTTGGTTTTGGACATGATGGTTTGAGAGTGAGGTCTCTTGAACTGTCTAAAAAAGCTCATTTCACTTTTCTGACCTGTCTTAAGGAGCCTCAGAAAACACCTGAATTGTATTGGCTTGTGGGATTTTGGAAGGATTTCATGCCTTTTAAAGCACAGATTTTAAGCTTACCTGACGTTTCTAATACTCTCTTGGCTCTCCTTTCCTCCCTGTCTCCGGTGCACTAGTTTAAATTTTCTTATTTTGTTCTCCTCTGCTTGGGTTTCCAGCCTTCCTCAGTCCTGGATATTATTTTTCAGCCTTCTCAGTTTGCTGTCTTATTAATGTATCATTCACTTTCTCTCCCCGATGATTAATAAAGAAATTATATAAGGCTTATGTGGTAGTGCTGATCCCTCTAGTATTCTTCCAGATGGCTTTCAGCTACACACTTTGATGTTTGGCCTGTGGTTTCTCTGGGGTTTTTGTTGGGGTTTTTGGTTTTGGTTTGTGAATTTTTATTATTTTTTAAGCCTTCCATCAAGGTTGGCTTAAATGGGCTTTAAAGCAAAATTTTGTGGGAACACAGTGTCAGATGTTTCAGTAAGATCCCTATTTCCACATATGCCAAGCATGTGAAAGAATTTGTCATTTATAATAACGCAAGGAAGTGTACAGTTTACCAGCTGCCAACTCAATATTTTGTTTGCTTTAGATTGTCCTTTAGAAAATCCTCACATAATTTTACAGCAGTAAGCTAAAATCTGTGGTTCAGACTGTATGAACTGTATGGTTTCAAGTATTGGTGCAGTGTGGTGAGTACTGCAAATTGACTTGGGTAATGACATTGGCATTGTAAAACCTAGGAAATTTGGTTGTCTTTCATGCAGATACAAATGATTCAGTTTTGGGAGGTTGGTTTTTTTGGTGTTTTCTAAATTCTTTTGTAGGAAAGTATAAACTTGTATTTTGGAGATGAATTACACAGGAATGGAAAACCAGTGGTGGTGTTCTTGCACATATTGCACAACCTGAACTGTGCTAGCCAGAATTCTCCCATGGAAACTTTGTTGTGGATTATAAAGTTTTGATGTGATGGCTATTTGGTGACATTCTGTCTCCTGCTATGTGGCGCAGCTGGCATGCAGCAGCTGGCCCTGCTTTGTGTCATCCTGTGCCATGAGACAGATCCGTTTCCCATGGGCTGAGTCCTGGTCTTATTGATGAGGACAGAAAAGCAGCAGTGGGTGTAGAGTATCTTTCTCTTCTCGAACAGTGTCTTCAACATGGCTGGGATGAGGGACCATCCTCTGTCTTGTGAAGACCTATGGTCTTGCTTGGGTCTGAAGGAAGGTTCTTGGTCTCCAGAAGTCCCTTGCAGATGATAGCTGGGTAAAGAAATTGGAGTGGGTGGTTGATTGTGAAGGGGGAACTCATGGAGGAAGTGCTATGATCTTCCAGTGCTTTGTCTGGCCTCCTCCCCCTGTGCAAGAGGGGCAGAGGCTAGGAAACATGGCACTCTATCTATCCCTTCCTCCACAGACTTGGTGTAACCGTGTGACACAATGGGGTGAGGTTGGTGGCAGCAGGGACGGATGCCTGCTGCTTGCACCTCAGCTGGTTTTAGAGTGGGAATGTGATAAATCTGAGGACGAACCTTGCTGTTTTTCCTTTTACAGAGGAGGTCATGCTGGCAGAGGAAGACAAGAATGCTGAAGAGAAATCTCCTCTGGACGGTAGGTCGTTTTGCTGTGCAGTTTTCCTCCTGTGATCCGTGAGAGGTTCACCTGGTGTCCGCTGACATGGCTTTCCGTTGTAACCAGGAGAGTGCGAGGAACATGCTCTTGCATGCACTTGGCATAAGTCGAGCTAAAGAGTCCCTATTCCCGTATTGGGCCTTTCTGAGGTTGCAGGTGGATGATGAGCAGTTACGTGACACAGCGCTCCGGGATGGGGATCTGCCCTTGGGGTCAGTCGGTCCCTATGCTGCCTGCGGGACCGCAGCGCGATGCGGACACCCGCCAGCCTCTGCCCAGCACGGCTGGCTGTGTCTAGGCGCAGGTTGTGGCGGGGTTAGGCTGCAGAGCGGATGCCGGAAGAGAGAAATGCACTGACCGCGAGAAGGCAGGGCTCTAAACCGAGGTTTCCAAATGGATTTGACAGAGACTAAGAGCCCTGTTACCTGCAAGCAGTAAGACATGACAGGGTGTGGTGATCCTACCTTCCGACGTGTGACCCTGGCGTCGCAGGACGCCTGGAGGTACTGAGCTTGGGACGCAGGTGCAGCAGGGTGGCAGGGACTCTCTCCCTGTGCCTCCAGTGAGCTCTTAGGATGCGACAGCCAGTCAAAGTTCAGTTAAAGATTCTTCCCTCTCCCTTTTCTGACCATCTTTCGTCCTCCCATGTCTCCTCCTTTCCCCTCCCCTCCCTTTCCTTCCTCTTTTTTTTTCTCCTCCCATTCACTGTC